CTTTTTTTATTTTCCGCAGTTTCTGTGGTGAACATTATCCGACAGCTATGTCAAACAAGTGCCCAAGATGTGGAAAGTCGGTGTACATGGCGGAAGAGGTCATCGGTGCTGGCGCCCATTGGCATAAATCATGTTTTACATGCAAAGAATGTAATAAACGTTTGGACAGCACAACTTGCTGTGATCGTGACGGTAAGAGTTTTTAATGCTTGTACAGGACCTAAGTATATGGCTTTTCATAGAAGAAGTACTTATGCAGCAATTTCAATTCTCACAAAACACAAGACAAGCGTTTAGTTTATGTGTTCTTGTATGAGATGAAACTAGAGAAAGAAAGTTTGTTTTTGCGTTTTATTTCTGGAAAATTACGCAGATACCCTACTTTTGTCTGTAATGACCAAACATTGTGTATATTCACTTTTTGATGATTTGTATTCACTGATCTCCGAAAAAAAAAACAAAACAAAACACGGAGAAACAAATAAACCATAGAAGCAACAATATTGAGGAATTCGATCATTACCCACAGTAACTTTCGGTCGTGCATTCGCCGATTTCCCTCGCAATCTTTTTTTGAAATATTTACATTTTATTGCAAYTGGAGTAAGTGAACTTTAAAGTATTTCAAATATAGATAGTTACCCTGGTTCCAGAGGCTTGTCTTTTATTCTTTTGCTTACTATATTATCGAGCCAATTCCGTTAATCGGATTTTTTTACGCTTCATGGTTTCTATTGATKATTTCGCTCATGTTTTTTAGGCGAGATATATTGCAAGAGTTGTTATGGAAAGAAGTTYGGACCAAAGGGATACGGCTATGGTGGAGGAGCAGGGGCTCTCACCAACACAGGCAAATAAGATACTCAACAGTCCACTTAATATTCGATAATGTACTTTATACTTTTGTCATAAGAAAACCGATTTGAAAAGCAATTAATAAAGCTTTAGTATAAAACTTAACAATCGTATTGGTCTATCGTATCTGTCCCCCTTTTAAAAGCAAAGGCACGTCTACCTTTCAACATGACCCTGGGAACTGTTGAGCATTTCCTGAAGACAAGCTATGTCTACGGTTGTTTAGTACAGCGGTGTAGAGTACAAAAGGGTGTTGATAGCGTGACTAAGAGGTGTGASTCGTAAACCAAGTAACACGTTAAGGTAAAACTATTAATTGATTTGRYTTAGTGTCATGTATTGTCGTTAGTTTTGAGTATCATGATAAACTACCAGCAGTCGGGGAATACTGGTTATTCCAGTTGTTTGTTTAGTCGACATGAACACAATGTATAGCTGAACGTTAATTTCTACAAGTTGATTCCTTTTCGTGCAGCTGAAAACAAAGTATTTAAAGATCTTGAATTCGAGGATTGATAGAAATAGCATCATTTAAATCCATAAATAAGAATAAAGTTTTTAACAAGGCTGTCGATATAATGAGTATATCGTTGCTTCACTCAACCAGAACAAGTGGAATTGGATTGTTTATAAGTGGATTTTAAAGAAGCAAARCAAATAGTTTTAGAGACGCTATAAAGATTAGAGAACAGATAACAAATTAGTAGACAAGTCCAAGCACACTTGAGATTGATTGTATTTTACGCGCCTAAAAACTGTGACCAAGTGGTTTTCATTTCTTGTATTGAGTCTTTTTACGTGTATGATATCAAATGTTGAAGTGGCAATATAAGTCTCACCTGTTACATACTACTTTTGTATAWAATTCTATCTTTTAGCTGCGATTTCTCCGATCATTTCACGGCACAGGCAACAATAAACGTCATGCTTGTCAGGTTCACTGCACAGCTTGATAGATTCATTAAACAATGAAATAACTTTGTTAGCAGGCTATCTAGCCACACATAGGTCATAGGAATMTATTTTGCTCCAGATTGAAWGYTCAATCAGTTTTTGCAATAGAACGACGGCGACGTCACAATTTTACCTCTACTTTCAATGAATTCACACTCGTCAACTGTCATCATGCATCATTGATAGCATATCCTTACGTTTCCGTAGTAAGCAATATCCAGAAATGTCTGACAATAGCTGTCCAAGGTGTGGTAAGGTCGTATACATGGCGGAAAGGTGTGTTGGTGCAGGCAAACAATGGCATAAGGCTTGCTTTACGTGCAGAGTTTGTAACAAACGTTTGGACAGTACAACCGTCTCTGATCGTAATGGTAAGACAGGGTTTCTCCTCAGGGGATATTATCAAAACAAAAAGCGACGACAGATAGTAAACAACTTGTTTCCATAAGGCTGGGGAAACAATTTCATTTCTCGCAATACATTGGCAGAGTAAGCGAGAATTTGCAGCGCAAACAAAATTGCAGCATCGATCATGTACCACAGCGTAAGGCCTTACGTACACGCAAATCATTCAAACTATACGAAAAGTAGTTGCGTCCACACGTACACACCCAACTAGTGGAAAGAAAATTACCGCGGGACAGCAAAATTACCGTGACACACCCTAGAGGTATATCTATTTTATTGCAATAGATTTTGATCACTRTTTTTTTCATGGTTCGATTTTAGGTGAGATATACTGCAAGACTTGCTATAGCAAGGATTTCGGTCCCAAGGGTTATGGTTATGGTCAAGGAGGTGGAACCCTGACACGCACTCAATAGACGATATGTGATGGTCTTAGGCTACATCAATAATGTCAACTTTTAAATCACAGTAAAACAGCAATCGCTACCTGACTGCATCAGTGCTCAACCCTGAATCCTCCTGACATAGACGGCATACATTATCACAAATGACTCTTGACTATTGCAATAATCTTTCTTTGTTACTAGGAAAGTCAGTGCTTTCTAAATTGGATTGCGCGCGGTCCGATTATTCACAATTTGGCAGATTTGGTTTACGACAAAAAAATGTATTTTTAAGTGAGAAAAAGTGAAAAAATAAAGCCTATTAATTTGAATATCGGTCTCACAGCGGGATTTGATATTTGCATAGGCAAATGTTGGGGACACTGGCCTATTGTTTCTATTGCGTTATTTCACCATTCTTCTGATGTTTTCTTGTCCCTTCCATTCCATTACCAATATTTTAAACATCCACTCGGCACACGTGAGCTCTTCTATCCGGATCAAGTTCAGATCATTTATCAATGGTTTCAACATGAAAGTTCCTGTTCAAACAATCGCCACCTCAACTACTAGTAAAAAAGTGAACAAGTATAGTTGTTTCTAGCTTCCAAATGTTTCTTTGGAATTCAAGTCTTTAGGAGCTGGCTCTCGTTGTTCTGAGATAGGTGGTATTTCCCGTAATGAGGGTAGTTCGGGTATAGGAGCTGGCTCCTTGGTTTGGATAAATTCCGATACCGGGGCTGGTTCATCATCGGGTGTTGGTTCTCGTGGAGGAATTGGTTCAGAGGGAGACGTATCTTCACGAGTCAACATGGCAGGACCAATTGGTGGAATTGCATTAAAATTCTCTAAACTTTCCAGTCGGGAGGGGATTATTTTGTTAGGTGGTGCAAAGGCTGGGAACTGGGAAAGCTTTGGGAACAAACTGTATTGTGATAGATCTTCCGATTCGTCGAGTTGTGAAATACGATGTTTTGGGATGCGATCCCTATTTCTTGTCTCCCATGTATGTCCCAAAACTGGTAGAGAATTCCTTCTCAAAAACGATGCCTCGCTATTTTCCCCGTTATTRTCAAAATCAGTGTTGTATTTCCCGATTTTAATGTCCATTTTTGAGAAGTCCAGACCTATGTCAGAATTGTCGAAATTTCCGTTCATGTAAGGGAGTTGAAGGTCTTTAGGCATCTTCGAACTTTGTCTGGAAAGATCTTCGATTTCATTGATGGTATTTTGCTCATCCCTGGCTTCCTGGGCAGTACCAAACATTGGGCTTGAGTCTTGACGCATTAAGTTTTTCAAAATCACTCGTTCATCAGTTTTTTTGCCAAGAAGKGACTGGTCCCAAATTCCTTCGTTTTCTGCATAATTTGAATCATCGTAATTTTCAGTCCCATCTCCTGTATTTCCAAATCTATCACCAATACTGGAGCGCTTCACTTTGCTGCGTACAAAATCACCATCATCATCCTGTGAGAGACCAAGCAGCCTCGTTCTTAGCAATGCCTTTTTGTCAGTAAATTCATGAGAGATTTCGGATGGAATATCCACGCTYCTCTTAGCAGCATCTCGACGTCCTTCTATAAACCTACGTGGTTCTATGATATTCCTGAGTTGGTCCTGAGGATAAAGACTGTCATCCAAGGTCCTTAGATGATAAGCGGTGGTTGATTTCTTGACTGGTGCTTCCCAAAGCGGTTTTTGTGGTGTTAATTTTTGAGCAGGAAACAGATCATCCGAAGCTTCCTTGAGATCTTCGATGTCTAAGTCTTGGCCGGTTAAGAGGCCATTTGTCTGGAAATACAGTTGACAAACGACTGGAGATAAAATAGTACRAATCTCATCAATTTCTAGCTTTGGTGGATAGTCTTACTAATACTACAAGTAAACTGSGTATATAGGAAATGATATCGAATAACACAGCGTCTTCTCAGGGAACAAATGAATTGATGCAAGTTTTCCTATTGGGGCAGTTGGCAGGGTTGAATCTAACTACAATGTAGTCAATATATTCSTGTTTACTGAGTCTAAACCGTGAAGCAGTATTATACAAGTGACAGAAAATGGTACTTGTATGACACATTAATAAATAGACTAGTTCTGTTAAAATAAAGTACTGCCTTGGATCAACCCAATCAAAAAAGTAAGCATTATTGCAGGGTGCTATATGGTGCAAGCAAAATGACTTTCCTTACCAATGATAATATAAAGGYAATTAGCTGCTCGCATTGTAAGCGGGTTTCAAGATGTAGTATGAGAGAGTTCTTGTCAGTTTCACCGAGAAAAAAACAACAATAATGAATTGGAATGATCTATTCACAGGTCGCTATACACTATTAAGCGTATAGTCACTACCCTGKCTAAGAGCACCGCTGGTATCCAATTATCTTATTGAATGAAACACCAGTTTCATTGACACCAATACCCCTTACAAACTTTCATGACACAGAAATTGAAAATAGGATTACACTTGAACGAATATAAATAGAGAGATCAAATGATTCCTCAACATATCACGATATAAGGAAAGCTGCTAAAACGTCGCTGGCTTCGTACATCAGAAAATGTTCAGAACCAACAAACTGCAATAAACTCTTTTATTTTATTTCAAAAACCGTTCTTCACTCGTTAATTAAAGACTATTAGCCTTTCAGTCAACCACTCTCTTATGAGAATATTAGCCTTTTAGTTTAAACATTCTACAGGACGCGTGCTGGCAATTGTTACGAAACAAACGATAGTTCTTTCCGCCAGCTTTGACGTAATCCTTGATACGAACACCGTTGACCTTCTTGGAACCAGTCCCCTTCCATTTGTTACTCATGTGTTTCCCATTCACAACCACAGTCTKGGACGATTTGCCATATCCAAACCCTTTATGGATGAGGAAGTTTTTACCTAGAAAAACAAGTATTTCAGCAAAAATATAGCAGTTTTCTGTAAGCTTATTTAGGTCTTCGGTTCGCTCAAAATGTTTGTATATTCGTAACTCACCTTTTCTTGTGGTGACCACAACTCCTGTGTGTTTTAGAGGTGTATACTTTGCAGCAAACTTACCAAGCCTACCTCCAAACAATGGACGCTGAACATGTTTTACTTTTACTACTTTACTGTTGTACAGTTTCCTAAGACCTGATTTAGTCTTGATACCATGAGGAAAGCCTCCCTTCATTGGCCTGCAGGTCAAAAGGAAAACGTTAGTACACATACTTAATAATCCACCGCGAAACCCTTTGCATGGAAAGATGGCGTGGCATTATGGAGATAGGTTTGAGATAATCAATGGTACTGAATGCTAGATACCTTCCCATTACCCGGCCTGCACCATGAATTCTCCCACCAAATATCTTTCCATTGACATCGCGTACCAAGACCAATGCGACCAGTAAACATAGGACGACTAACTTCACATCAATCATCACTGGTATACTGTTGGAAAACAGAATAGTTGATAGCATGAAATTATTGACTGRAATCTGAATGAAAAGCAGTGTATTTCAAAATATAATTACCTCCTTAATATAACTGCACTTTGATCAGCTAGTCAAAACTCTCTGAATACCGGAAAACACTACGCTATCGCAACATATCTACGACGTATTTATCAAGATTGAAAAGGATTCACTTTCTTGTGATCATGAATCTTGAAACTGTTCTTGTTTCCTTCAGTTTCATTGGAAACTGATGTATCGACAGTCAGCGTAACAAAGAGGTCAAGGTTTTCATTTTTCTACCAATGATTGCAGAGTAGAATTTGGGATAAATAGTGAAGGATCCAAGACAAAATCCTTTAATAAATAGTAACGTCACTAATTAACACTAATTAAACAATAGAGTAAGATAAGATCCCTGATCCATACACCTCGTTACTACCCTGCTGTAGTATCTGCTAACTGCGTTCTCGGGGACTATTCGTTTTTTCGGAACATCCAGTTTCCACGGGCAACCATCACAGCATATTGGCCTCGATTCATCKACTCTTCTAAACGGCGGGCTCTACGCACTATTAGTAAACATCCTCGGCGGACACTATCGCGTCACGTGGTCGACTCTCAAGAAAAATTTGTTGTTGAATTATAAAATGCAAGTTGTTTGAAACAGAATGGAAAACGTCACAGATAGYCTAGTAAGTATATATAGAATTATCATGTGTTTTTTTGAATAACGATTTCCGATTATCACGCCAGAGAAATAGATTTATTGGCAATTTTAATATAATGGTGTGTGGCTCCACAACCTTTTTAAAAGAAMATTTCAGGTGTTCAGAGCAATACCACATAATTTCCCCAGTGGATCCTCCGGTGCTGTAAATACACTTCAGCAGCACTTCGGACTCTAACAGCCTCGTACGCAGCCGGTGTCCATTTGTATGTATGACTCGCGTATTTTGGAAGTGCGTATTTCAACACTTTTCACCTATCGAAAACTGTAAGTTGTCACTTTTCCCAAGCACTGAAGTCAAATTCCGGGAAGAAAAATTTGATTTCTTTTCTTGCAGTTTCTTCAGAATCTGATAATAAAATGAAGGCTTAGTTAGAAAATAATTACGTTGATACATTTGATATTACTTTCAAATTTCAACCCCTGGTGTGAACACAGGAATTCCAAAATGGTTGGGGGATTTTGTTTTCTAATATTAAAACCCCAGTCATAATGGATATGTGCATTGAGTTGTCAAAATATAACGTCCCTGGAAAATATAAGATTTAAATGCTCAGAAAAGTGGAGGGGAGGGGGAGTCACAATTCAAGGTCTCTGGATCCGCTGCAGAACCCCCAACCCCCAACTTAAGCAAACACTGCATTTCAGTAAATAAAGAGACTTTCTTGCACAGGGATGTTAGTTAGAAGCATACCTGATCCATGAGTAACATTTCTAGTGTCTGATATTCCATAAAGTGCTCTGATACTGTGAGGGGCAACATCTCTTGCCCTGTTATCACAAACATAATAAATAATCAATAAAGTGAGCCAAGCACCAATAATACTGTGATAATTTGACCATTTTTGTTCCTATAACGGCTTATAACCATTGCCACTACCACACAMTARCATTGGAGCGCAATAAGGAAAAGCCTCACAGCGGCACATACAAAATTTTAAAAGGGAGGGTGGTACATTTATAGATTCTGATCCTGTTGAGTTCTTGAGAAATGGAAAACTTCCATAATTTTGGATGGCTTTATTGCTTACAACGTTTCATACATTTTATGAAAAATATGATACCAGTAAAAAAATGTTTGGTTAATCTTTTTTTTAATATTTTATTATTATTATTTTGGATAATACAGACAATAATTTTTAATCTTGTTAGATTAAGATATGACATTTATAAAAAATAAATCAGGAATTTCCCAAACACCTGACCCACCCTGTGCCCCAGTCCTCAGAGAAAAAACAAGACTTCTAATCTATTCCTCATTTCTCAAAAAACAGCAAAGACACAAAATCCATTATCAACTATGACCTGTATGAGTGGGTTGGTCCAATCAGTTGCCGCCAYCTTGTGATAGCACTTTCTCCACTAAGCACCATTGCCATCATTGGACCACTGCATTAAAACAATAAATACACTTGAACATGTAAAAACTGCAGCTTATTGTACTATTTCAGTGATTAACCAAAGCAGTATATTCTTCTGTACTTAATTAAGTATATGATCAGTGCGGTCCTTAGTATGAGGCCAACAGAAGCACTCGCCTCAGTAAAATTATGCCAAATTTTGAAAGAAAAAAGCTAAATATTGAAAGAAATGTTGTGACCGATGACTGATCTGGACATGAGAGCTTCTTTGTTTTATCCCATCTGTGGGTTAAGGTAGTGTGTTTCTGTTGTATATTAAATTGCTAAATCTGTTCAATAAAAAGTTACCGTCCGAAAGCCCTACAAAACGCAGAAAATTACATTTTAAAAAGCTGAATTTCTAACCTTACCTACTCATAAACCCTACAAGTCTGTTGTAGAAAAATCTCCCTAAAGATAAAAATAATAGAYTTATTGGCTCCCTGTSTACATTTTCCACAGGAGGCCCAACAGACAYTTGACACACAAATCATTAACCAAATAACAATATTTATGAATGAAATAAGAATATTGTTATATAAAATACAAAGTATATATTCTACCTTTATGTTCTGCATAAAAACGTTCCGCCTCGTCTTTAGTCCAGTGAAGCTGTTTTGACTTAGCAATAACAAAGTTGTGTTTGGAAATCAAATCCTTGATAGCCTACAAACAAATATTATTGATCACTATTATCCCACTTATTATAAAATATACATCACCAAACTCTGCAATAATACCTTCACTCTCACAGGATGTAGCATTATATCGGGCTTTAAAAGCGCTAATGTGACCTGCACTTTTCCACGAGCTGCCATCTTGTATAGAAATGATCCCAATGTTGGGCTCCCTGTGTGTGCATTTGAGCTGCGTTCCTGACAGCGATTGATTTTCATCTCTTTTCATGCGAAAAATGTAATTTTTAGTGTAATTTCCTTGGTTGTTGGGGCACAGACTRTTAGAAAATGCTGGCCTATTTTCGAAGGAAACGATCTATCAAAGAATGGCTGTACTTTTCAGTGCATTTGCTGCATTTTCTAACCGTCCTGGGATTTCTGTGGGCGGGTATTGTGGAGTTTATTCGTAATCCACCATTTTTTGATGCTTATGGCGATGCTGCTACAAGGAACAGTCTTCCAGAGGGACTTTTTGAGGTGAATAACTTAGAAACAATTGTTTTTTAATGCATCGGCTGCATAAGTGGCCATTACATCTAGTAGTTACTTAAAGGTTAAGCTATTATAAGTTAAGTTTAATTGAAAATTGTTTACTTAAGCTTACATACCACTGAAAACGTTATTGATAATAACCTTCAATAAAAAAATGCTTTTATTCCAGAATGATCCAAGAACTCTTGATAAATCAGTAAGTATGACATGAATTTATATTTATTCTATATGTTCATATATTCACAAGTATTTAAAGCTTACATTGTTCCCCCCCTTCCCCTCTTCCCTGGCCTCTACCCCCTCCCCATTAACTTGGGGAGGGCATGAAGCTGGGATTTCTACAGACTTAGGGACCGTTCATTAATTATACCTGAGGAGTGGCTGGAGGAAAAGTAGGGGGGGCTTTGAAAAGTAAACAGACAATGAGGGGGTGGGGGGTGGGGGGGGGCTTTAATGGCATTTGCTGGCTTGAAGGGGGGATTGAAACACAAAATTAAAGTATGTATAATATATAATATCAATGGTTTTTTTTAATTTTTATACATTTCTTATCAGTGATCATTTTAAACAACAACTTTACTTTCTTCTTTATAGGGGTCTAATCACATAAGCATTCACTTGCTTTTTGTGACTCTTTTAAAGTTTTAAGATTAGCTATTTTACATTGCTTTATACATATGGGGGGGGGCTATTTTTCCTCAATGTCAGAAGGAGGGAGGGCTCGAAAAAAATATTGTGATAGAGAAAGGGGGCTGCAAATTTTCCCAAGGTTTTTTTGACTTTTCCTCCAGACCAMCCTGAGGCATATTTAATGAACAGTCCCTTAGCAATATCAATTCTTAGGAAATCGTGGGGATTACATAAAAGGAATTACCTGTTTAGCAATTTTTTTTCTTTTGCTCAGGATTAAATTTCTTTAAAATGTCATGGAATTTATCCTAAGAAAATTTAAAATTTCAATGTATGTAAAATAATGTGCTCTTTTCTGCAGCAATCTCTAAGACTGATGGATCTACCCATTCTTTTTATCCTTATTGTAAGTACATTATCATATCATTTAAAACAGTTGTCATCATCATTATTTGTTACAGTATTGTTATTTAATATCCCATCTACATTACAACTTGCAAATCATCATCATCATCATTTATCATTTATTATAATCACTGATGATTTGATGATATAACGTTTCTTTCAGGCATAYGCTTCGGTATGTTGCTGGCTCAAGTTTAAAGGTCTATCATGGCTCTTAACAGGATGTTTTACTCTCACTATTTTGTGTTTTTGGATGGTCAACTACTGGGCTTATAAATTCTTTGATTGGAGGTTGGTTAGGAATCTTATATATTTGCAGCATTATATTACAACATTACAATTGTTCCAATCTCAAAAATTATATCACAAAGAATATTGCTGCCTTTAAGATTGTTGGATTGAATGTGTTTGTGATTACACTCAACATGTAACATCATATCCRGTTACTGATGTGTAGTTACTTCCTTAGTTCTGTTTTGTCATTCACAATGATGAAACTGGAAAGTCTCACTGGCTGTAATTTGTGTTTTTTTGGGATTCCTGCACTGAGGATCATCATCATGTTCCTGTACCACAAAAGCAAAAATAACATCCGCTATAGATCTTTGTCAATGTAACTGAAACATTTTGCAGTAATAATTAATAGAAAAATATTAATATTCTTTTTTTATTGTAAATCATTCCCAGATATTTTCCAAGCAGAAATTTGGGTCTTGATGTCCAAGTTCTCACAATAGCRTTAAGTGCAACRTGTATTTTCATGGTCCTRTTTTATGAAAGGAAAAAGATGCCTATTAAATTCAAGGTATGATGGCTACTGTCCAACCATACTTTTCACACTTTTTCARATGTAATTATGTGTTTTTATTGATTTTTTTCAGTCATCACTTCCTGTGCGTCCTCTGGGTAAAATCCACATAGCCTCTAATTTCCTGGCCATTTACCTGGTAACGTTCACATGTCTCATTCTATGGTTCTCAAAATTATATGTGTCTTGGGCTTGCTTTAAAAACCATGATGATGTCATGAGCCTTTGTGAAAGAACAACTATGGTAAGAACATCTGACTATRGAAATCACTATAACTGMGCTATAATGTCTGCTCAAAACTTTGCCTACATGGGTGYKTCTTTTTGTACCASATGACAGGCTWTKGAGTGAAATGGCTGGCTAGAAATCATAGCATAGTACACARATAGCTGATCGTGTGGTACAGAGTTAATGAGGAGTATTTAACACACTATAGTTATTTCTATAGGAATCTTTGGTTTAGCAACACTACTAGTTTACATTTCAGTAACAAATACAGACTTTGAAATCCTGTATCTCACTTACTGTTATGATGGCTCCAAAGGGAATTGCGCGTAGCATATTTACTTCCAACTTTCTTGTCCTACGTAAATTAAAATGTGTACTAGTGTACAAATGCTAATGCTGCAACTCTAGACTATTCTGTGCTGGAGATCTAAAACGTTTTCAAATTTCAAAAAGGGTGTTTTTATTTATAATATATTGTCTGTGCATGTCAATCTTTTAGAATGTGGAATATGCTAGTTCAGTATATGTATTTGACCCACTATTTATGTTATAATTGTTTCTAGGTTCAGTGTTATCCGTGTAATTCTTGTAATACGACAGGGCTGAAAAAGTGTGTTAAAGACAAACATAAGATGTACCACTGCCTGTCATACATAGAAGATGTGTCAAAGAAAAAGGTACTATATGACTTTCGTTAGAAAAAGCAGTGACGTTTTATGGGGAAAATCTTGTAGTGATAGTAGTCTATATTTAGAAACTGCAAAGTCGGTTTGAAACGATGACAGATTTACAAARGTTGATTTAATAGGACAGACGAAAGTAAATTCTAGAGTAACGATRTCTTAAGCGATTTTCAGCATGTTTTATTGGAAATCCGTCAACTTCTGTGTCTCTGTTGGACTTCTTGTGTTATAAATGGTCACTTTCTATCCAATGGCTGAGAGACTTTTGATAGTGTTTTTGTTTTCATTGCAGGGTTCTTTCTGTATTTTTAACTATAATATCAGCATCTATACGTTCTTGACAGGTTGGTTTTACTGCTAAATAATAATATTATTAAAAGCGTTGTTGTCGTTTTCTCAGTACTTGTCTCGGCCTAAGAAACAAGATASTCAGTGGGGGTCTGTGGAGTATAACAGGGGGCTTAAAAGGAAATTACATCTGCACTGATAGTTTCCGTGTTATACAGAGATTGCAGCTGGATGAGTCTTACGTACGCGGAACGACTTTAAAATACCCCGTACCTTTCTGGCTCAATAGAAAACGTTGCGCGCACAACAWCATAAATGCTAACAAAATACCGAGTCAACCGACATAAAGAATCGCAAGTGTGAACGGGCCTTTAAGTGACTACTTGACTACCCCTGTTACGAGACTACGTACCCCTGTATCAAAACAACCCAAACCTGTTACGAGATGACTACCCCCGTTACCTGAATACCCTACAAATTCTCTATTAGCTTGTCACACTACGAGATATCGACAAGTTGCTGAGAAAATTGTACACTCTAACCACATTACTTTTGATTTGTTTRTTTCCACAGTGTTTGCGTATGTTGGTGGTTTAGTCGTGTTTCTGAGTACTTTCTATCGTATTGTCATGCATTATTTCYTGCGTCTTGTGTTCCTGATTATTCATTGGTTCACCGATCGTCATGGTCGTCAGGCAGAAAATATCCAACCACACCCTTCAAATTCCYTACATGTCCATGAAGGTGCATTAAGTCCTTATGATTACATGAACGAGACCGATGATAGCATGAGTATCCAAATAGTAGACAAAGATCTTCCTAGTGAGAGTGGTGGTGACTTGGTAGACGCCATGACCTAGTGCGCTTCATCGTAAGGCAGTTTTATTCACAGAAATAGACACTAATTTCTAAGTCATAATACAAGATGGRGTAACCAAGCTTCGCTTCAGTTCCTATACAGGGAACTCTTAAAAACATGTTTAGATCGCGGACTGCGACTGGATAGTAATGCACAAAAAATCTGTTTTAGGCAATCGATCTTGCTTTAGTTTGAATGATTTGATAGTCCATCTCCAATTGATTTATTAAAAGTACTTATTAGGGATTATCGRAATACAGTCTACACTGAACACTGATGATAGCTTTATCTGCAAGAGACACTGGTAATTGAACATGATTATAATTCCTGTGTATTCAAAATTCCTTCGGTCTTAGCTTCGATAATGTAATCTTCCGATGATGGTTTTTTCAATTGTCATATTGTTTATACACCATATTTTATCATGTTGATATGTAAAAATGCTGCTAAATCAAATAATTATTATTTTTATATGCAAAAATAAATATATGATGTATAAATTAAGCAATAAAGAATACAGATAATCATTTAATTGAAACTTACACTAAACTGTCTTTTCTATTTCAATACGCACCCTTTTGCCATTTTGCATTTTACGTGTCCGAAAATCAGACCGCAGCGTCTCGGCTTCCTTCAATATCGTTTCTTTTATTATTTTCTATGTTTTTTGTCTAAAACGTCTATGACATTCATTGCAGAGAAAAAGTGTCACGTTTTAACCAATGTTTGTAATTAGAGGGAGATCACAAAAACGTGTGATGCTTTAAGTGAATGTAATTTCATAGAAGAAACACGAATGATTGCAGTGAGAGATGGAAAATAGAATGGTCTGTCATAACAACAGCGAACGGAGAAGTATAGAACGAAGGATCGATCATTCCAATAAGCCGAGCCATGAGATTTCTAGAATCGAACGAGTGATCGATGAGGTAATTAATACTTTCATCATGGTTTAAGTGAGTTTTAATTCAAAAGTAAATCGATCCTTTAGAATCATAAAAGCAATTAAGTTATAACAGGTAGCTCAGCCAAATATTTCAAATTAGCACTGCTGGATATCGGCGGAAAATTGGTGTTTCATCTGACGACCTTGTTGTTTTATTGCAAAAACCATACTTCGACCCTTGTATTATGTCTTTCAGGGGTCGGTTGAACTTCGTGTTTTTAGAATCCGTCATTCATAGGAAATGAGGCAGAGCTTCGACAGTCTTCTCGGATTATGATTGTTTTTTAAACTCCAAAAATTCCATGATGCTATTTGGAAGTATTTGGCTGCGATTGGTGGATATTTTTTGGAGTAGAAGTGCTTTTATAGGCGCCGCAGTTGTCTGTGAAACGACGATGATAAATCGATATTAGAACATAATTACATTAATGACCAAAATATGGAATTGTCACGTATGTAATCAAGGCAATTGTTATAAACAAAGTTTGTTCATAATCTTCACTGCATCTTTAGCGTTTGATTTTCCGAATTCATTGTTGGTCTCTTTCAATTAGAAGGAAAACCTACGATAAATATAAAATATATCTAGTTGTCGCAAATGTCTGTGCTATTTGTGTTTTATCTCTAGTCCGGTTGTGATCAATGTCCCTCTTTTTTGATGATACGGTGCGTCGGCTTTAGGAAGGGAGGGTCATAATAGGTCCATCAGGGGGACAATAAAATCCAGTTCTCGAGAGAAAGCAAAAACCTTTTCTTTATTTTATATAAGGCATAAAAAAAGGGTTTTTCTTTTTCTCGAGAACTGGATTTTATTGTCCCCTGGATGGACCTATGAGCTGCAATTGATTTATAGATGGCTGCTGGGTACTCTAATACAATGACTTGTGCATCTCATGCATATCAGTGACAGTTGTAATATAAGTGGAGAAATTATGTATCCAAGTAAAGGAGGTAAAGCATTTTTGTCTTTGTCTTTGTTTTTGTTGTTGTTTTGTTTTGTTCTCTGTTTTCCCTATATTTTTTGCCAGCAAAATGTTTGAAACATGCATATCAGAATCTGGCCCTAAGGCAACTGTCATGACGTGATTGTAAAGAATTCCTTGATAGACTTCAGATGCAGACAGCTGGCATCTTAAATACTGGTTTTCCGTCTTCTGCAGTGTTACTTACATCTTACTTCAGGTTGCTGAAATGATCGTTCGTTACGTTGTGTTCTCTATTTCATCGACATTCTCTCATCTCTTGGGAATTCAGGGGGAGGGGGTCCTTGTTAAAATGGTCGATGATAACCAAACAGATTTAACATGGTGTGTAGTAAATATGTCGTACTGTGATGTTAAATGCTTACAGAAATATCCAGCAACAAAAAACGTAGAACGAAGACTGACACGAAGCGGTTGAGCTAAGCGCTTCTAGGATGATGAGGACTGAGCTCTATTACTGGTCAGTCGACATGCAAAACACCGATCACTTGCAAAGTCAGATGGCGGTAAAGTTTAACAAGGCAAATCAAAGGTTTGATTTGGAGATTACGAACAACAAGAAATGCTGAATGTGCGTGTGATTACCAAGTCGCAACACATTCAGGTATCGCACATCAAAACGCTCTATCTTCAGCTAACACACTTGACGATTTTTCACTTCCAGAAGAGGACTGACCAAATGGCAACAAAAATCCAACTTGACTCCTTCGGCTCCCCCCTGTCACATTCATATGSTTTCATTTAAGACAGATTTTATTGCACTTATTAAGGGTGTATTTGAAGGTGGTTSCCGACTTGTTGATTTCCGGTAGGACATAACATTATTACCCTTCATAAGATCCTCATCCAAACCTGAGCCACTTTAGTTGGTACTGCTAGGCATACGAGGAGGTTAGCCTTTGTACTCCATATATTACAACTGTCATTATCTTGAATTGATATAGTTTATGAGAAAACGCACGCACTCTTTGGCAATGGAATTTAAAATMGCAATGGTCCTGGTTCTCCTAGTTTGTACAGAGATGGTTTCATCACGAGCAGTCAAGGTAACGGGAATACGCTTGCTGATGCACGCACAGTCTGACACTTGTTATAGAATCATCAAATGGAACAGCTTGATGTGCTGTTAGAGTCTATTTTAAATCATGTATGTGGGCATYAGGCTGCAATCATTGTACCTACCAATTGTTCTTACTATTTCATTGTTAGTGTACAGTTCTTGAAACGTCTGRCTGTTCATGATTTTCTGATAAATAAGAACAGTGACYAATAGCTGATTGCTAAAACAGCAGACAACAATGGGGAATAAGAGAGGTTCAGAGTGGGCGTTKTTTAGGTTTTCCTTAAAAAAATCAACTGTGAAAATGCGCAAARWATAGATKCTAATGAATCATATGTTAAATATTGGATGCCCACAGTTCGATTATCATGAATCGATCGATTAATAACACAATATATACATTACATTTATTCGATGGAGACTTCAATAAGCGGACTAAGTGGACATTTCCAAAGAAAAAMATTTAGCGTTAATTTTTGTTTTTGTTGGTCATGTTTTAACATACTCTCGAAACAAAGGTCTCAAAACAGGTTGATGTAGTGTTGTAACTCAGTCTAACATTATGGCCGCGGTTGGGTGGCACTTATAGAATACTCGCATGACGGCGACATGTTTGCTTTGAGTATTCTKTTAAYGAGAATCATTTACGTGTYGTGGAGGATACCAGTGGTCTGAATGGCTTCCATACTGTGWTSAGACCTACAAAGGTCGTGTTATCGAGCTTTAGGCGATGATGATGACTTTTCAATGACGACATGTTTTTTCAATCAGRATTTTTAAAATYAAAGTATGAAATGATGCGATAATTCGATTACGGTGGAAAAGACTATCCAAAGTCACACTTGTTAGGTGTTATAGCGAGACAGACTAGTATGTCAGCAACATCATATGTAAAATTGTCATGATACCATAGAAAATGTTTGTTTCTTTTTCTTGTCACCCACTATGCAGCCGGTGGGTTTCAATGTCACCAGAAATTAATCAAACGGATCGTTTATCTAGAAAATCAYTTTAYACACTTTAAATTATAGCATGTCTAAAATTTTTCAAATTCTATTTGCGCGATCTCGATCATCGTCAGTTCTTCAGCACAGTTACCAAAGTTCGTGTTGTTTCAGAGACTTTGGGTTACCTGTGTACTAACAAGCTATGTCAGCGGATGTAYTTCTAGGTGTCGCGTCTGTTTTAGTTAACTGTTATGTTAAAACTTTAACCGAGAAATTCTCAAGAGATTTATAAGGATAACTACGGCAATAACAAAAAAAAAGAAGAAAAAAAAAATGAGAGAAAATATATATCGAGGAAAAGAAGTCAAACGAACGAAAAATAAAAACGTAAAGTTTCCACAGCTGGGCTCGAACTCTGTCTTTTCAGATCAGAGGAACTTGCACCCCCCGGTTATCTGATAAGAAATAACGAAAATRATGAAATGAAAATTGAAAAAGATGGGACGATTCCCCCGAGACATTCTATGAAGCTGAGGCGTCGAATCGGCTTACGTTACGGTTAGAGATTTCGGCTCTTCCACGCTATCCCGAGTGAACATAAAACTTAATCTTAACCAAAAGGCCAGGGAGTGAGGGGGTAGCCGCCCACTAGAGCATACCTTTAGCTACCCTCTTAGACCATCGTACTATGAAGTCACTTATAGATATCTAATACCTAATCGGGATAGTCTATTCGGTGAAGTTCTATGCTAATAAATGACGTCACCAAAATCCTTAGGGAGCAGCGAGCCAATCAGAACTCAGCGTTAGAATTAACATATACAGTATACTTGCACAATGTTTTTTTATACGATGAGGGGGTAGGGAGCGTCATGTATGATGTGCTTACTCGATGGAATGCTTCGGTTTACGGACCGGCAAGGCGCTTCTAAATGTGTGTAGGCGCACTCAGCGTCGGAATTCATGACAAAAACAATCTCTCTTTACTCCGACATCGATTGCATTGTACATCTKGTTTCTTTATTACTTTATCTATCAATGGACTGATATTTATTATTGATTATGACTACGTTTAAAGAAAATRTTCCTTGAATCTAAAACGACAGGTTCAGATGACAATAACACTTATTCGTCGCAGTAAAAGGTAAAGAAAGCTTTTTTTTTACTAAAGTTCAAGTCAAGTTTCAAGTCAGATAACAGTTCCATTGCCGAAACATTTTGATATATTGMCGGTTCTTTGCAAACTTTATTCTGCCTGTGTCTCATTTCACATCAATATTAGGTTGACTTTGCTGTTATTTTTGGGCTACCTGTGTACTCATTCAGTATGAGTCTATCCATTGTTCATTCGAAACGTCTTGACTACCAGTAATTAATGGCCTGGTCCACAGAGGTTGAGAGAAAAGCATTTCCCATTTCCCTCCWTTGGGAGGAAACATATCGTAGTTGCCCTTAAATGCAATGATCGGAAAKAGTTTGTAGATACAGTAATATTAGTTAAACAGCATCGCTGCGTACGGCCGAGTGGATACATCTGATATATAATTTATTTGTGGCTTCTTACATTTCAGAAATGGTCCCGTAAAAAAATATACTCACATTACGATAGCATTAAACATCGCATTTCATTCCCGTCTGAAATTTCTTGTATTTTCATTTTGTTACAGCATATCGAGAAGCGTGATGTGGATTGCTACAATCGACTTGGGGACTGGTGTTTTCTYAACAGYGACTGTCCCATGTACTGYGATTCMTATGATGTCATGTGCATCTATGGCCAATGCTTGACATACGGGAACTCYTTGCCTTACAGAAAAAAGCGATRAATAAAGACASAAAMTAAAGAACTGAAAAATACTACACAGTCATTTGGAACATTATAAAAACGAAATAGAGTGAACCAAGAGAACATTTATAGGGCGTTGAAATGATAAACGCATCAGCTAATATTGAATTATGTMAACTTGTATATGAATAGAAGAAGCAATAACGTATTACTGCTTCTAATGSAGCCTCTAAAACATACAGTGGTAGAAAAGGATTCGAACCCATGACGGCATATTACTCCTGGCTTAAGTCCGATCTAGGGCTCGATTCTCGTTCTAAGCCTGATAATTTTTAAMGGCTCATTGTAGATATAGGTAATTATGAATTACACATATGACACGGAGGYCGATTGTACGAAGGATGGACAACCACTCCATACTATTTTGTTTTCGATTTTATAGCGCTATTCACCTTCGTGCAACCACGCCACACATCCGAAACTCGCCTTTTAGATGTTCCAAGCAATTCTGTAAATTTTTGTGTGAATTTCACTATTMAATTATTAACAATTTCATATACACACACATCTATAATACATCTATAATAAATGCTGTATACAACTATATATATGACTATAATCATATCATAGTAAAGAAACCTAAAATGAAAAGACGACAAATAAACTAAAACTCCTTGCTATATATTATATATAAATAAACGCAGGATTAGCGCTAGTCGATTAACTGTAAAAAACTSGGCCCTGCAGGACTGACTAGAGGAAATGATCCACAGTCAGGTGATAAAGAGCTATAATCGCTCAGGAGGAGCCGACGAGGTCCGTTCTTCTAGTTCTTGTACGAATGTTTTCCTGGGAAAGGGATTTTGAGATACATCAATTGTTGATAATCTCGCAAGCAAATGTGGCGCCCTTCCTTCATTGAAATAATTTTGAGGTCAAAAAAGGCTTMTATAACGTTTTTATAGTAAAGATTGGCCTTTTTTATTTAGGAAAAAAATCTTAGAAAATATTCCTTGCCTGCAGAAATTGCTTGCCTGGAGTTTTTTTTTTTTCCTGAAACTTTCGCTGACAACCAGTCGTGACTTACAGCTGGCTGGGACATAAGAACAGATATCACGTACAGCAGRATTAGTATCTGTTTCCAGCCCAATTTTTTGCTAAATTTATTTTTTAACATAGTGCGCCCCCTTAGCCTCCTTTCATCAAATGTGAGGAGTTTTCTTACAAAATGACTTTATTTTCATTATTTTTTGAAAAGTATAATATATACAAAAGTATTCAAACATTATTGTATTTCTACCTAGAGCCCATAATATTACAGCGTATTTATAAATATCATACAAAGGACATGATGCATTAGAACCTCAACCTTTGATGCGATGTCTGAACACTTAGTAGACTTCGTCTTGATGGTTTCTGCAATGTGATCGTCCAGGCGTACGCGTGAAGGCGCTTCAGAACTGCGTGATTTCATGGTCACCAATGTGTATCATCTCTGATCCAGGGGCTTGGATGAAAACTTGATTTCTTTGTATGAATGACAAGCGGAATAGAGTGATTTCTGTGGCTCTTCGCTTTGCAGGATCAGTACTGGTTGGGCTGTTTAGTCATCTGGTATTGTTGATCAGCTAATCGTTTATCCGAAATCCTCCTCTGGAAAAAAATATTGATGAAAAAAGTGTTGATCTATCTTACTCAAGATATATTAGGTAAATCCTTCCAGCCGTCCGTTCACACCTACTGTAAAATATTTAGTGTTGGGAAGGGAGAGTTGGGTGGTGGGACTCCGGGGTAAAAGCGGTTTTCTATCTCTTTCTTAATGATATACCTCCCCATTATGGTATACTTAGCTATTATTTATTATCTATTTATGCATTATTTATTTATTTATTTATAGTTTCGTGGCCTCGTTTTTATGGGATTCCTGTGTATCCCTACATATCTCCAGTCCTTTTCGGTCAAAAGCCAAGACAAAATGGCTGCCGATTTGTTTAGCATGTTTTCACTCGATTTTCTGTAAGAATCAATGTGCTTGTTGCCAGAAAATGGTCTTTTTCCAATCTCAGATATGGTAAGTACATGCAATTCAAATATATGACTTGACCAGATTAAGAAGGCAGCAGAAATTTAGAATTTTATTAAGTAAAGGTTAAACCCCGCGCATTTTTCAAAGTCAGCATTAAAGACTGGAAGCTCACCTGTAAGGACAACTTTATGTCTTCCTCCGCGTCTACCCATCTGTCTTTTTAGAGGTAAAGTTTCCACAGAGTTTTCGTGTCTACCATCTTGAAATGATTCTTGGTCAGTAGGAATTTGCATAACATCAATGCTCTGTGGAGAACCATCTAAAATGGCATCTGTTACGACAGTTAATGAAGGATTTTTATCGTCCATAGATGAATTATTCATATTTGAAGCATTGTCTTGTTTGGATACTTCAATTGTCATCTCATAGGGTGAGATAGAATTGTTTGCAGAGCTTTCRGGTTTTCCAACATCAATCYGCAGTTTTGAAATATTCCCATGTGGTAGAGTTAATATTTTACCRTCAGGTATTGTAATGTTTTTCTTATTACTTGTGTTGTAATCGTTTAAAGGATTCTCTGGCCTATCAACTGAAATGCTAATGTTTGTCTTTCGTAATTGCTCAATAATATTTTCCGGTTTGTCGACTTCAAGGGACATTCCACTGTCAATCGGATTCTGACTGTTATTGTTAGARAGGGCTTTATCAAGAACTTCTGAAATCAAACAAACCATTTTATTCATTAATGTGCTCTTATATTCATGATATTGTACACTAGTGTGATAGGAAATTGTTGGCAGCAATGTGTATAATATATATAACATAAGAAAGGATACAACAGCCATGTCAATGGATATGAATCTCACAAGTCCTTTTCTTACTCACATACTTACCTATGTTGGACATATTAAACTTTGTGGGTTGGCTTGTTGTTTGTTGAGTTTCTGCTGGYATTCAGTGATGCAGAYATTTCAGTATTTTTGGTCAGGGATAGTATTATGGTGGTGATACTTACTTGGACTGGCTTTTGGTTCGTTGTTTATTTCCTCGTTATCTGAAACATAGGGATGTAAGAAGCTGAGCGCAGTTATTTGATTGGTTAGAACAGGAATTTGTTGTTGTAGACTACCTGGACTTGGACCTGTTACTGTGTCAGTTCCTTTGAAAGTCATTAAGAATTATTCAGCATCATCAATGTAATATTAAAATTGTAAGCATGTTCATACCTGGATTCTCTGGTGGACTTGTAGTTTCTTCATCTGAAACATGGTGTTTATTAAGACRGAGTATTATCATCAAGAGGAACTATGTTGCTGTAATACTGTACCTACCAGGGTTGGGGATTATTGGAGGACTTATCTCTTCATTCCCTGTGATACCGAAAAACATCATTAGGACTGTGTGTTATAGGTCCATGGATCTGTGTGTTATGGGTCCATGGATTGATTGACACATATAACATGCAAGTAAACCAAGTTCTCTGTTAATACCTTGATTAGGACTTGGTGAGCCTGTTGTTTCCTCTATTTCTAAAGCAAAAAAGGAAGTTAAGTGTAATCACAGCGGGACTTGGCAAGGTTACATCAACCTACCTGGAGGAGKTGGACTATCACCTGACCCTGGAAAATATGTAACAAAAGATAAGATACTTGATGATGGCACATGGAAGAAGACCTATACACCAACCTGCACCTGCAGTGTCTTCTGTTTCTGAAAAAAAACAACAATTGTATTCATCTTACAATCCTTGTTTTCGTAAAAGAATAACACACAACACAACTGGCATTTCTCGATTTCTATTTGGTTGGTTGAGCTCTTATGTCTCCTTAGTCTTGTTAAAATTTAAATATTAATTACATTAACAACAACAAATCTTTATTAAGACTTCCAGTAAACCAAACACTGCATAACCAAAAAAACTTATGGTTTGGATAAATGCTATTGATACCAACCTGGTTCCGTTTGTTCTTCCTGGTCAATTTCTGGAAAAAATCGAGGGAAGACATTATTGGTTGACCGTAGTTATATCATATTTGCATATAGAACACCATTTTTGTCTTCCATTCACTTACCGGTGTTTGGGGGATTGGGGATTTCCTCTGTCCCTGAAACAGTTTGTCATATTTAACAGATGGCATGGGTACAAGGATAATTTACATTATAAAGATTATTGTAGTTATTGCACTCCTACCTGGACTGGAATATGTGGTGTCACCACTTCCTGTAATCACATGTACATAGWACTGTAGTTAGAATACTTTGTTTCCATATATTCGTGGTAATTAAAGGGTACAAACCTGTGTTGATATCTGGATGATCGGTCGTTTCCTCATCAATCTCCTCTGAAATATAGCAATAGTAAGTATGTCACATTGAGCGAGATATTGCAGATATTACACTCGGCATATGGSACATACCTGTTTGGTTTTGATAGGCAAACACCAAAGGCTAAAATAATTGTTTGATATAGTTAGAATATCAAGGGTATTTGAACCTACCTGCGGTATTTGGTTGGCTTGCTATATCTTCTTCTTCTAAAAAGTCATCGAAGTGTGAGAGAACTAAATCTTGTACTATACTTACAACTCAGAAGTTTTGTCCTTTAGAATTTATCGTAAATGAATGGACGCATACTATATCTCTAGGCATGTATAGTATCGTCTTGTAGCTTTACCTGGACTAATACTACTACTGGGTGGTCTGGTGCTTTCATCAATTCCAGTTTCTGTAAAATAACACAATACAATATATGCATGGATTGCAACATTTGTTATAAGCGACGCTTTTTGCCTACTGTAGGATATAAGCCTTCCTGGAAAGAAACTGGCTGGAAAATTCTTACCTGGGTAAGAAGTTGGAGGTATTGTTATGTCATCAGGYGCTTGAAAACAAGTAAATATCTTCAACATTACTGCGTTACTACTTGTGATGCAATATTTTCCGGTTATAAGGATAAATACACGTACCTGCAGTTGGTGGAGGTRGATTTGTAACTTTGTCTGTTGAAGTAGAGCAAGAAATTATGTTCTAATCTGCCACTTACRGCCAAGCACACATAGAGAGGGGGTAATGCACAAGAGGAACAAACTGGTGAGCATTCTTGGCTTTCATGAATTTCAGTGAATTATGTGAAATGGGAACAGGAAATAAGTTTACCTGCTGGCTTTGTAGGAGTTGCTGTTATATCGGTTACTACTGTCAAAAGTAAAGAACACCTTAGTCTGATAACTATATTTGTTTGTTATTTTTAACAATATTGTATACCTGTTGTTGCATTGGTAGGACTTGCAGTTACAACATCAGTCTCAGCTAAAACACAATTCGAAAACTACATTATTTGAGGAAAACTGGGAAAATGGAAAAGGAACGAAATCTTTAAAAGCCGAGGCTTTTTGTTTAAGTTTATCCTGTGCTTTCATATCTACCAACTTAATATTTCTCCATCTACCAACTTAATATTTCTCAATGTTGACTTGGAATATCACTATTTGACAAAATACCATAAAATGGATTACTTGCAGTCTTATGTTCAGATTTCCTCCCTGTTATTGTTGCGTCCTATTTTGGATGGTTTTGTACGATGGATTCTCGAAAACTTTTTACATGTGTCGTATGAAAACGTGTTCCCCCACAGCACGTTAGGGATTAGGAAGTGTTGCTTAGGGGTAAACTTCACTTGAATGCTCAAATAATTTTTTTGGAACAATTGAAAAAAGGTAAATATCATTGAATCACCTGATGTCGGACTTGGTGAACTTGTTGTGCCCTCTATTGAAACAAATCAAGGATTGAATTAGGTAGATAAAGACACAAAGTGAATCAGTATTCTGCATTTCTGTATATCAAGAACCTTATTTAAGGGTATTACCTGTTGGATTTTGTGAGCCTGTTATAAAATCATCGATCGCTGAAACAAAATCAAGGTTGAATTATCCTGGGAAAGTACTTCAAATTCCACCTTATCTAGTGTCATACCTGATGTTGGATTCAGTGATCCTGCTGTATCTGTCCATGAAGCAAATCAAAATTGAGATTTGATCATCCAATAATATTCAAGCTTCACATTCAAGTATTACCTGATCTTGGATCTGTTATATCATCTTTTTCTGAAACAAAATTGAGGGTTTAATATTCAGGTGACCACCACATTGCATTATRCATGATAGCTATACCTGTTGTTGGATCTGCGGTAACCCCAGATTCTGAAAGTAGAGCAGGAAACGCGGTGAAACGAAATCGATTACTGTACTTTTTGTAATTTGTTACCGTATTTTTCACTTCGTACCTCGAGTCATATGTGGTGAGCCCTTTACATCGCCACCGTCTAAAAATATACATAAAAAATGTACATTATTGCATAATAGTGACGAAATTGATAAAGGAATTCATTAAATACTACGAATAGAAGAAGAAAGAAAAAAGAAATGAAAATCTTTCAACTCCAGCATCGACTGATCAAAAATACGTTACAGAGAGAGCAAGTGCATACCTGAGGTGGTTGTTCTTGGACTTTCTTCATGGTCAAACACTTAAAAAAAGATCACAAGGTCAATCACATTCTCTGGATGTCTTTGTAAGTAAAGGCAAGCAAATTACCTTCATATACCTCTTCTTGAGGTTGTAGAGCTTCATCTTTGGTTGGTACTTTTGTTTTGCCTAAAAAATAGGTAAGTTAACCACTCTTTGTTTAGGTAAACTGGTGCCGATGGAATGCACATTTCAAACCTATCAAAAATGCGTTTCTTGCGGATTTAGCTAAAGGAGCTCTAACCAAATTAGGCAGTATAAACTTTTAAATTCAGGTACAGATAGATTATATATTTCTAGAAACTGTGTTTTTTGTTATGTTTATTGTAAAGAGTTTTATCTGGTGTAAAAACTCACAGTCAGTACTACTCTTAAGGCTGTTTTCGAAAGTAAGAGCGGAGCTGGATTTGGACTTGCAAAGTAAACAAAAACGTAAAAAGACACTCAGAGAAGGAGCGAATGAATTTCCCTCTCTGACTTCGTGGATTTTCCTTTCAACAAAAACAAAATTGAAACTAGAATTTCCRACGTGAATCGTACATTAACAACCTATCATACCCTTTTCACTGTCAAAATTTACAGATTCTACTTGTAACAATTGCTTTCTGCTTAAGTGAAAACCCTTACCTTGACTACGATACACATACTCTAGAATATTAGGGGGGAATTGGGATGAATATTAGGGGGGAATTGGAATGAATAATTTTGATAAGCAAAACATGCTGCCACACCCAATTGCAAAAACGTTGTTCTCATTATGGATTTAGTAAAATATGAATAAATTAAACCAATAGCAGAAACTAGAGATGAACCCTTCCTTTTGAAATTCTTTTCCCGGACAACGTTTTTGCAATTAGGTGTATATATTTGTTGATAATAAACCGTATTAAACGTAATTAGCAACAAACGGATCTTTTCTACCATATTTGCATATGAAAAACTTCAGTGTATAAACCAAATTCATTTATTGATTGCATTGATTAGGTATTTTGAATACAACTTTTCTGTACAAAAACTGTAATTACATTTTTTTTCTATTTACACCCGTTTGCAAAAAACGTTGACCCAAAGAAAGTCAAAAGATGTAATTATTGATACTACCTCTTGGTTATTGATATAGTTGGAAATTTCGTTATCGTGCCGATAACACGCAAGGGTTGTCCGGAAACGACAGAATGCAATTTGAATTTGCTGCATGTCAATCACTTTATGGTGAATCTCAAATTCCCGTCTAAAACCTCAATAGTAATCATCATCATGTATGGTTAGTATCGGAAATGATCAAATAATGTTTTTTTTATTATGAAGAAACGTTTGCACGAGACAGCGAAGAGACATCGTCAACAGTCTGACCTTCGTGCGTGCCTTGACTTGTACCTCAAAACCACGCTATCCCCGGAATTTTCGAATAACTAAATTGTTCAACCGTTCGCCCCTATCAGCAGCTTGGGCATATTTTGCACACTCAGATTTCGGAGACAGTTGTGATCTTTACTGTCCTAGACCTTTCATTGATTTCCAGCAAATTCAAATCACTAGCTGGTCGTTTTGTGCAACTCTCTGCATGTTATCTCCCAACAGTTGTAACTTTATTTTTGATACTACTCAGAGTCAACGTTTCTGCATTCTGGTGGGCGACTAAATCACGCGCAGAGGTTGGGGTGACATTTCGCATGAGCAAATCTACATGAAGCATGTGGAGCGAGTTATTCAACCCTATTAACATGATCTAGATAATCAACCAGTATATTTGTCCTAGGTGGAAATCACCATTGTYTACTAATGCGATCTATATGACTATAATGCAATGACGCTGATATAGATAATCAACTTTTATCGCTGTACACGCCCTCACCAGGCTGATTTAAAGTATCTTCCGATTGGTTGGTGRCTTCTTTCTCGTCCGGCATTGGCTCTTGTTCAGATTGATTGGTAACTGTTTCTTCTCCTGGTATTGATTCTTCCGGTTGGCTGTCAACTTCTTGCTGTTGGTTGTCTTGTTCTTCTGGCAGTGGTTCTGTTTCTTGTTGATTGGCGTCTGTTTCTTCTACTGTCTCTTCTTCTGGTTCTGTGGTGGCTGTTTCCTCTGCCGGTATTTGTTCTTCTTCTTCTTGTTGGTTAGTGTCTGTTTCCTCCGCTGGCAATGATTCAGCTTCTTCATCGGTGACAGTTTCCTCTTCTGGTAGTTSTTCTGATTGATTAGCTGCTTCTTCGTCTTCAGGAGGTAACGTTTCCTCTTCTTCTGATTGATTGGGGTCAGTTTCTTCATCAGGCTGTATTTCTTCTGAGTCTGATGCTGGTCTTGTTCCAGTCACTTTATACCGGTATTTGTATTTATACCTTCGACCGGTCACTCTCATACCAGTTCTTCCTGTCACTCTTCTTCCTGTAACTCTTCTTCCTGTAACTCTTCTTCCTGTCACTCTCATCGTAACCTTTCTTCGACCAGAAACTCTCAATGCACCGCCGGTAAATCTGCTACAGATAGTCTTTGTCATTCCAATTTGCGGCGCTGTTAATGCACCTCTGTAACACTGTAAACACGACATTCTTCCTTTGAAATATCTTTGGTCTCCAATTCTGGCTCCAATACGTACGCTGAACTGTGTAGCCACCTCAAAACTACCTACAGTAGCTGTTGCAGCTTGTCGGCCATCTATCCACAGACTGCAAGCTCCCGATGCCTTGTTATATGAAAAGCCCACAAACTTCCACTGTCCTCTTTGGATAGTGGCAGTGATTGCTTTGGTCATGGACATATCTCGTTTAACAATGCGGACGTACAAACTGAATGGATTTCCCTTAACAATCCACCAATGTACTCCAAAGCCGTCTACTTTGTAGTTAAAAAGAGGGCCTGCCTGCTCGACGAATACATAAGTGAGCACAGTCATCGAGCCCCTAAAGTCCAGTGCACCTCCAGCTTGGTTACCTATTTGTATGTAACTTCCCTGAGAGCCCGCAAATTGACATGCACCTCCTGCCTGACCGGTGACTCCAGCAGCAAATGAAACACCTTTCATAATCCCATTGAAACCTCCACCTATTGCATTCCGGGCTTGGAATCTTTGACTTAATGGGTAAATTGCCACTGCTAGTCCACTGAAGGAAATACCAGCTGCCCATGCTCCACCTCCGACCCTCATTCCTGCCCTCCAACTACCTCCTGCCCTCATCCCAACTCCTAAGCCAACCCTTCTCCCACCTACAATCTTGAAACCACCTCCAGCTGTGGCTACCCTTTTTCCACCTATAATCTTATACCCACCTCCTACTCTTACTCTAACTTTTTTCCCATTTACAATCTTGTACCCAGCCCCCGCTAGCGATACCTTTTTTCCACCTACAATCGTGTGCCCGCCTCCGCCTCTGACTCCGACTCTAACTCTTACTCTTCTCCCACCTACAATCTTGAAACCACCTCCAGCTATGGCTACCTTTCTTCCACCCATAATCTTATACCCACCTCCTACTCTTACTCTAACCTTTTTCCCATTTACAATCTGGTACCCAGCCCCCGCTAGGGCTACTTTTCTTCCACCTATCATCGTGTGCCCGCCTCCAACTCTTCTCCCACCTACAACCTTGTAACCACCTCCGACTCGAATTTTCCTTCCTCCAACAACCTTGATTCTGCCCCCCACTCTTATTCTTCTTCCACCTACAAACTTCCATCTGCCTCCTACTCTTATTCGTCTACCATTTACAACCTTAATTCGGCCTCCGACTCGAATTTTCCGTCTTCCTACAACCTTGAATCGGCCTCCCACTCTTATTCTTCTTCCACCTACAACCCTGACTCTGCTTCCGACTCGAACTTTTCTTCCACCTACAATTTTTGTCTGGCTTCCAGTTGAAACTGTTCCAGTAGACGTAGATGGTCCTAAAACATTAAAATTGTTGTATCAACATTCACCATCATATCCCAGAACTGTCTGTTTGGGTCGATGGTCTGCACGATTGGTCTGCAGTTAACTTTATTTCAAGAGATGTACTCGTGTTTATCCTTAGATAGTTTACTGAGGCATGCAAGGATTGTTAAGTTATATTAACAAAAGTTATAAATCGTATTATCTTACAATATTTAACGGGTGTTTAACCATCAATCATTCAATCATAAAGAATAAATTAACAACTCAGTGTCTAGTGATTAATCTTCTTATTATTTTATCATTTATCTTATCCAGAATTGGTATCTTATATCATTTTATGATTAAGTACTCTTGATATTCTTTTGCCCATTGTTTTTACTGGAATTAGGTTTAGGAAGGCATGCTTGCAGATTGTTTTATATCATCTGTTAAAAGAGATAAAGGAAGGTCAGCATAAATTATGGTTTATTTGTTGGAACAGCCTGCCTTGTTCATCACACCGCTCCATGGATTAAGTTGGTTAGCAGAGTGGACGCCACAATTGTTTAAATGCTATGTTTGGTTAGTGCACTATGATTGGTTGATTTGTTTTGTTGAGTATCATGCTGTGGTCCATGCAAAAAGGCTGGTTGTTACCTATCTCTAGTATRTCAWGCGTCAAGTCAAGTTGCCGGTGGATACGTTTTTTGATACTAAAAAATGTTTTAGAAATCTCTATTTCTCACTTACCGGAGGTCTTTCCTCCAGCAGCTGTGAAGAAAATGTGATAGTTACTTGATAAAGTTTCCTTTTAATAATTTTCATGGCATTTTATGCATTGGAGCTTCACCTTATATACTTACAGATATCATTTTCTTTGAATTTAGAGCGGATTTTGTATGACTGTGCAAAAACACGATATCTTCGCTATGTGACCGTACCGTGCCGTAGCGCGATGTATTGTTAAAACTTTATTTTTATTTGGAATCCTAGAAGGCGAGGTTCCGTGACCGTGCCTTGTCGTGTCCGTGCCGTTGCACAGTCATACGAAATCCGCTCTAATGATTGCCAATGCGAAACTGATATTTCAATCTGRTGGACAATACAAGCATCTGGAAGTTATCTATGTAGATATATAATGAACCTACTTACATTTGCAAGCCTTGTTCTTGATTTGCTGGACCACACCTGATAGCTGCTTGAAGTCCGCCGTAATCACGTGGTCTTTTTTGGGATCAGTTGCCATTTTTTGTAAATCCCTGACATTGAAGTTCTTTCCGATTCCAAGACTGTAGATTATAACACCTGAATCACGCAGTGCTTTAGAAGGAGGGCCTACATCATCGGCTGATATCCCATCTGTCATAACTATCAATATATTTGGTAGTGCTTTACGAGCTGTATTGAATAAGTTTGTTAAACATAATGTTAGTGCTTTTCCTGTTAAAGTGCCTCCTCCAGGGTACTTCGTTGCCTGGACCTGCCTTATGACACTTTGTTTATCGGTAAATTTGTTGAAGTCAAACTCTACATTGGCAATGTGGGAATACTTGACAAGTCCAATATGAGATGCYGAGGGTCCAATGTTAAATGCCTCCACCATTTTTACAATGAAGTCAATGCATCTTTTGAAGTTTCCTCTTCCAGATGCCTCGATACTGCCTGAGACATCTAACAGGAATCCTAAATCTACTTTAGCTGTGCATTTCCCTGTGTTAACAATGAAAACTCTATATCAGTAACTACAAGATGGTGAAGTGTACGTTTCTGGTATTTTCGGGTTAAAACTCCAAACCAGGGTCTATGTTCGAAAAGTTGTCCTACATGAATGGATTTTAGTTACTAGATACCCAACTAAGGTATTGCCAACTGTTTCCATAACAGTATGGTAAACATCAAATGACTTTAGAACACTGGTCCGTCTTAAGGCCGTGTCACACTGGCGTTTTTTTCGTGCAACTTGTGTCGCGCAAAAAAATGTTGAAGTTGCACGATGCCATGTCACACTAGCAAAATTCCGTTGCAACTTAGCTCGCACAAAAAAATGTTCAAGTTGCACGCGTAAATTGAAAATGTACGATCATCTCACTTTCTCTCTCGTTTTCTTCTTCAAAATTATCGCTTTCGCCAAAGATGGCGTCGGGCATCTTTGTTGATTATTGCAACAAGTGACAACAGGACAGATTCTCGCTTTATTATGGGTTCGTGCGCCTAATTGAAAATTTTGGAAGTTGCAAGAGACCATGTCACACACGCGTTTTTCCGAAAAATGTTGAAAAAAGTAGAAGCCAGTTCTACTTTTCTCTCAACAAAAAAATGAAATGTTCGAGTTGCATGAGGGGTGTCACACGTAAAAAAACGCTCGTGCAACTTCAACATTTTTTTGCGCGACACAAGTTGCACGAAAAAAACGCCAGTGTGACACGGCCTTTACTAAACGACTACAAAAAGAGGGTGAGTAGCAATAATAGTGTTTACCTGGGGTAGCACGCGGTGGTGCGACGGGTGATGGCTGAGCTGTTGAAACAAATAAATTTTTAAGAGGAAATATAAGCCATGAACAGACAGTTTACAAAAGCGAATAAAGAAAAAATCCTCATTGAATAAAACATTTGATAACTTACGGCCTACACCAGGGCTAGCACGCGATGGTGCAACGGGTGATGGCTGAGCTGTTAAAACAAAGAAATTGGTCAAAAGGAATTAAGCCACAAACAGGCAGTTTACTGCAAAAGTGAATAAAGAAAAAAATCTTCACTGAATTTAAAAAACATTTGACAACTTACTGCCTGTAGGAGCCTGGGTTGCACCTCCAGCACCTGTAAATATGAAGAAGTTACAACCAGAATAACTTCCCATGTTATCGGGCACTTAAAGGGCGTTAATATATTAGATTTTCTCGAAAAATACAGTATTCAAATCGATGAAAAAATTAATCGTTGTAGTAAATACTTCACCATTGTTCTCAAACAATTGATAGGTAGTGTAGGACAATTGAGCCTTACCTTGGCATACGCCATCCTTAATCTTATCAACAAGTGAATCAAGAACCTTGAAATCAGCTTTAAACACATGTTCAGTGTCAGGGTCAGTTGCCATGTCTTCCAGCTGTTTTTGATTAAAATTCTTTCCAATACCAATTGAAAAAATAGTCACACCCATATTACGTAGATTAGCCGATGGTTTGAGGACATCATCTTGAGATATGCCATCAGTTATGACAAGAAGTACATTGGGTACTCCTGGTCGAGCACTTGCACCAAACAAGCTCGTCTTGACAGTGTTGAGTCCTTTTCCTGTTAAGGTGCCCATGCCAGGATATTTCATGCCATCTATTACCGCCTCCAAACTTCTGACACTCATGTGCTGTTCGAAGGGTGAAACGACTTGTACATTAGATGAATATAGTACTATTCCAATGTGGGTGCCATCTTTTGCTACGTTAAACCTCCTGGTGATCCCTTTCATAAACTTCTTCATACGATCAAAGTTACGGGGATCTTGATAGTTGATACTACCGGATCCATCTACCAGCATCGCTAGGTCCACCTTGGCAATGCACACTAGAAAAAAAACGTCAATATCAATCTATCATCTGTATAGCTAGCATTCATAAGAAACGCATACAAAGGCATGACAAGCATCGCTAGGTCCACATTGGCAATGCACACTAGAAAATACAACGGTCAATATCAGTCTATAATCTGTTTAGCATTCATAAAAAACGCATCACAAACATTCCAAGTAAAATAC